TTCAAGATAACAATATGTAATATAACAACCACTGTTAATTCCTATCATTTTGTTTTGAAACCCTGTATCATTTTTAATGTTTTTGTTTTGTTTGTTTATGTCTGTGATATTGGTATTTTGCTATTGGTCTTTTTTTAAAAAGCTACTCTCTAAAATTTAAAAAAAAAAATCTAAAAAAAAAGTACTTGAGGATAGACAGAGGGTACTGCAAAAGATTTACTTGTTCTAGCATTCCCTAAATTGTAATACACGTCTCTGAAATTTAAATACCTTCTTTCAGTGTTAGTGGATGTACTTAAGTTAATTAAAACCCTTTGTATGTGAATAGTTCATGCTAACTTCTGAGCTTTCAGCATATACTTAAAGTTTAAACAAACTTCATTTTGTTACATGGCTTTTAATGGTAATCTTTCTGCACTACAAGGACAAAATGGAACAAAGTTGCTGTCAGCCCTCCATTTCTCTCTGTCTCTTGAGGTCTGTGTGCATGTGTGTGTGAGGTCTTCCCCCACCCCCATTCACCATAAATTTTACCTGAGAGGTTTATCTTCTTGATCTTTAGTGTATACTAAGTTCTTCTGGGGGGATATTGCCCACTATTGTGATTTAGGACAGTATAAGTTGCATGTTATAATCTCATTATTAGAATTTTCAATTTGAGATTCAAGGGAAACGATAGTCAAATGAGAACACACATTTTTTGCTAAACTGCATACACTTAATGCTTGTAGGTGATGAGAAAGTACATCTTACTTCTTGCTGGCTGATGTTTCTTTTGACACTGATTATAAAATATAACAGTATTCCAGAAGTGTTTTTAAAAATTTAAAAGAAACTTTGAGGCCAGGCATGGTGGGACACACGTGTAATCCCAGTGCTGCAGTGGTTGAGGTGGAAGAATCATGAGTTCAAGGACAACCTGTATTACATAGCAAGACTCTGTCCCCCAAAAAGCAGGGGTGGAGTGGGGATTTAGCTCAGTGTAAGAGCATTCCTGGTTCCATCCTCAATACCATTCCCCAAAGTAACCCCCAGTGAACCTTTAGAAATAGGAAGATGAAATTATAAGCTAATATAAAATTATATGATAGGATTTCAGCTATGATACTGGAAAAGACACCTGAAAACAATCCCCATCACTGACTGCTCACTGTGTATACTAGGCACTGTACTAAGAAATTGGCCTTGTTCTTCTAACCCTTATCCCCATCTTGTGAAATTTGTAATACTACCCATCTCTGGCAGTGATAGCCTAAGCTGAGAGAAGGTATGAGACTTACCCTGGGGACAGAGATGATGAGGCATGTATGGAGTGAAAACTCAAATCTTGCTAAGCCCATTTATCTGTGCTGTAAATTTTGTACCAGAAATCCTGCTGCATTGTCATGGTCATGTCATTAAGCGTCACTATTTTTTTTGTTTGTTTGTTTTGGTTTTTTTCTTCCAGTACTGGGAATTGAACTCATGATGTTGCGCTTGCCAGGCAGGCGCTGTGCCACTGAGCTAAATCCCCAGCCCTCTAAGCATTACTATTTATTGAGTGTTCATACTGTGCTGGGAAATGTGAAGAGTGCACTACGTATCTCACTCATTCCACAGGAGGAAACAGATGTTGCGAGTTTGAGTTGGGTGTTCTAAGGATTGTATAACATGGGTGTTGTAGCTCCAAGAGGTGTGCATTTCAGATCATACATATTTTGCTCTATTCCCAAAAGAGAAATAAAATAACAGAGCCATAAATAACAATGTTTTCCAGTCTAGAAAGTGGTTTGTAGAGAATTAAGGAGTTGGGGTACACTGCTTTGGTTGTCCAGGAGCGTATTCTCTTTTAAGAGCCAGGTATCCAGTTAGGGGAGCCCATATGGCAAGGTGGAAGTCTGTAGAGTATACAGTACATTTTGGAAAAAAACAGTGTGCATAGTACCTTACATTTTTAAAGTGAACATAAAAATTTGAAGTCAGGGAGAATGTAACAACACATTTCACTGTTATAGTCACTTTTCTAAAAATAGATATTCTTTTTTTAGGTCCCGATCACATAGCAAGAATCCTAAAAGGTAGGTATTATTATGAAGATAGGTACAAGTAGCCAAGTTGTATTTTCCAAAGGCAGTTTTTATAGACTGAATATCTTTTAAAAACTTATGAGGGTAAATTATTGTTTCTTTGGTAATTAAAGGTTAAGCATTGTCATTTGAGGAGAAGCTGGTCAGAAGTTACTCATGAATTACAACTGAGTTTTTATCAGAGCAAAATTACGTGTACTGTCCTGGAATTACAAGGGAAAGCGTTTATCTAAATATTCCTAAATATTTCTTAAAAATCTTTTTTAGAAGGTCAGTAAGTATGTAACAGGGTTTAAGAAACAACAATCTTGGAGCTTGTACCTGTTGAAAATATAAATAGGTTAACTAGTTAAATTCTTAAATGCTTTCCACAACAGGTTAATGGGTACTAAAATGTTGAATGTGTGTCCCAATTCTGTCCTTTGTTAATTTATTACTCATCCCTTTGTATTATGATCACAAAAGGCTTCCAAAAGGGCATTTTTTGCCTGGAAGAGGAAGAGATTACATCTTTCTTTTTACTTTTAGTGTTAAATGTTTAGGGGCTTTTTGAAACCTTTATTTGTAGTTAACAAGAAGTTTTTTCTAAGAAAGGGAGAAAGATGTCTTCCTTTATTCTTTCTCATTTCTTCACTTACCATTCTCTTCCTTTGGGCCTTGTTTCAGAAACCCATTCTTACCTAGAATGCCATTTCTCATTCTCTTCCAATCCAACTATTCTTCTTGTTGACATTAGATCTTTTTTTTTTGAAACCTCTACTGAGTACTCAAGAATAATAGTTATTTCCTAAGAACTTCTCCCTAAAATTAAGATCCCTTGGGGCAGTCATGGTGGTGCAAGCCTGTAATCCCAGCACTTGGGAGGCTGAGGCAGAAGGATTGCCGTGAGTTTGAGGCCAGCCTGGGCTGCAAAGTGAGTTCCAGGCCAGCTTGAACTACATAGTGAAATCCTGTCTCAATTAAAAAAAAAAAAAAAGGAAAAAATAGAACCTTTGTTATGAGACAAATCTTACGTTTATATTAGTCTCCCCTTAGTACTTTTTAAAATCCTTCAGTGGTTATTTTTTGCTTAGCACTAAAACAAGAGCTGGCTATAATCTCCTCACTGTGAGAGATTTAGCGGGGGAGTAGTGCACATTTGAGCCCAGCGTGGACAATTTAGCAAGATCCTTTCTCGAAATTAAAAGGGCTGGGATATAGCTCAGTCCTAAGGCTCTGGGTTCAAACCCTAGTACCATGGAGGTGGGGGACACTAGAAAAGTAAATGGACCAGTTATATCAGCTAATTAAATTGTGAGTTTTACATAAAATGTCTAGATACTTCAGCTGGAAATGTAACTTTTGCCATGCTAGTCTACCACTCACTGGTCTCACTTCCAACCTTGCCCACTCCTCTCATCCACCTCAGTCTGTTCTTCACACATTAGCCAAAATGAGCCCTTTAAAAAATTAAATATATTATGTGTGCCCTATGTTTAAACTGGGTTTTTCACTTCATTCATGGGAGAAGTCAGAGTCCTTTCCATAACTTGTTTTTTCTATTTTATTTTTTGGGTTTGTTTTTTTTTTCCGGTACCTGGAATTGCACTCACGACCTTGCGCTTTGCCAGGCAGGCTCTGTGTCACTGAGCCAAATCCCCAGCCCCCCATCATGTAGCCCACCTTATACCTCTGGTTCATGTCTGTTTTCTCAGAATATCAGTTAATAGCTCACCTTCACTTTATGTAATGTACTATGTAGAGCCCCGTGGTTTGAATGTTGCAGTTCCTTGCCATCTTCCTTGTAAGCCCCTCTTGTTATTCTTCTTCCCTTGTTTTGTTCATCAGACTGTCTCTTTAGCATGCTGAGCTTCTCCTGCCTTGACTTTGTGCCTGTGTGCCCTTCTCAAGGTGGCTACTGTGCTTATTCCTTCCTTCTCATTTTTGCTTCAGCATCGTGCTATTAGAGAAGCTTCTTCTGCTGCTTCTGTAAAAATATGACCACTGTTTCTCTGTCCAGCTTCACTTTACAGGCAGACATCAGTACACATTCTAGACTGTAAGCTCCAAGGGGCCAGAGACTTAGTTTTATTTGTTGCTTAATCTTCCCTGGTAACTAAAATAGTGCTATAGGCACCCACTAAATATATTTTGAATGAATGAATAATTTTATTCAGTGTTTTAAAACAGTGAATAAAATTATGCATTGGAAGAAATAGATTCATAATAGCTATCTCAGTATGAGTAGTTAAAGGTCATTTGATAAAACTTGTATTGAATGACATATTCTTTTCTCTGTCCTCGCAGATATCCTAACCAGGTGTAGAAATACTCTGTTCAGCTGTGTTTGACACTAGGTCTATAACATGCTGTTCTTTACCTGGAATGTTAACATGAACTGAATACATTTAAACTCATTTATAGCAAAATAATCATTTGAAAATATGTTTAGTGTGTAAACAATACTACCCAAATAATGTGCTTTTAACTTACTGTATTAGGAGAAAACGTTAGTCTTACATGCTTAATGATTTAAAATTTTTAACCATTTTATTGAGGTGTGGTTTATATACCATAGCATTTACCCATTTTTGTTAGTGATTTCAGTAAATTTAAAGTTCTACAATCCAACTTAGAATATTTTTACCACTTTTTTCCTTTTTTCTCTCTCTCTCTTTTTTTTTTTTTTGCTGTACTAAGGATGGAACCTGTGGCCTTGCCCACTACATGTGATTAAAAGAATGTTCAAAGCTTTAAAATAGTGTTATAGTAAAGGACAGTGGCCATTAGTCCCCCTCAGACTACTCTTGTGTGCTTTGAACATGCTCATTCCAGCAGTCTTGCCACTTTCCAAAGCAGTTCTGGAAGTCCTCTTTCGTGAGTGTCTTTACAAGGTGTGAATAAAAAATACAGTCAAATCTGCTGCTGGGTGCCATCAAACAAAGGCAGGCTCTTAAAAACTTCATCGTGTGGCCTAATCTACTTTATTCACCAAATCTGGCACTGTGTGACTCTTGGGTCTTCTTCAAAGTTAAAATGACTATGAAAGGTAATCAATCGTGTTGTATTGACATGGAAGAAATCATGACAGTAGAACCAAAGACAGTTACCAAAGAAGACTTGTAGAACTGTATCTGAAAGTGGCAAGAATGATGGGTTATATTTGAAACAAGGGGGAGTATTTTGAGAATGGTTAATGGTAAACATGGCTTTTACTGTAATTGACTTCTTAAAAATTTAAATGTTTATCCCCACCCCATGCCTTTTATGCCAAACAAGTGTTCTGTCACTGAGTTACATCCCCAACCCTTGTTTTAAAAATTCTTATTTTGAAGCCAGGTCTTGCTAAATTGCACTGCTGCTGCTGCTGAAGCAACTACATTCATGTGCTCATCTTCCATCATTCTTAAAATGACTCTTTAAATAAGCAAAACTGCATGCCTTTTTCCCCTCTTGTTTTCTCTTGTGTTTTTGTCTTTTGCGTGCCATTACCTTCGCCATACAAACATACCACATACCACACAAGTTTAGTTGTGACCTGATCAAGGCTACAATAGTATTTTTCCTTCTCTACTACTTTGTAGTTGTTAGCAATACTTTTTAAAAATCAATATAGGTAAAGTTCTGTTAAGTTTTTAATTTTTTTTTTTCCTCCCAAATCATGTGCTAGAGAATTGTTTCATTCTGTTTAGATTATTTTGTGATTTGGCATACTGTGGGTATTCCATATTTATTTCTGTAGTCACAGCCTTTCTAATTCAGACAGAGTAATTTATCCTGAGCAGTGTATTTTTTCATATCTCTCCTTCCTTCTGTTCATATCCATTAGGTATATATATATAGCCTCTAAAGTATCCTAAAAATCTTAGAAGTTTAATGAAATTAATTAATAAAGCATTTAGATAATACAATTCCTGGCTTACAGTACTGGTACACGTTTTTGCCTTCATTTTCTTCTATTCCTGGTATAAGTTTATACAGTACTGATTGACCTCTAAGAATTAGTGTTTTATTTTTGTTTTGAAGTCTTAGTGTATAGTTATTCTACCAGAAATTTAGTGTAAATTGAATTGACTTGGGATAGAACTGATACAGAAGAAGGTTACTAGAGAATATTTTTAAAGAGAAGGCTATAGTAAATAGAGATACAGTGCCGACAGAATGAAAATGAAGTCAAGGCTTGTTATCTTGTAGATCGAGGTCCAGAGAGCATCGCAGACACCGATCTCGCTCCATGTCTCGAGAACGCAAGAGGAGGACTCGATCCAAGTCTCGGGAGAAACGCCATCGCCACCGGTCCCGCTCCAGCAGCCGTAGCCGCAGCCGCAGCCATCAGCGAAGTCGACACAGTTCTAGAGATAGGAGCAGAGAGCGGTCCAAGAGGAGGTACTGACGTGCCGATCGGAGGATGTGGAGCTACCTTTATGTTTAGCCTGTTGTTTGCTTATGTTACTTAGGATTAGAGTTTAGATTATTGGTTTGAACTTGCACCTGGTGATATGTACACATTTGTGTGTGGGTGTATACATTTTTTTTCCAGATTATATTGGTAGTTCAGAAAGATTTACATGCGAGCCCGAATAAGAAATTGGAACTGGTATGTGCAGAGGTTATTACTGCTTTTCTCTGCTTAGTATGTCTTGGGGGAAAAAAACTATTTTACAGGCAAATAATTTTAGGTACTAATAACTCTTGAAGTTTTTCAATATGTATTAACACATTAGGGGCTCTCAGAAGTCCTTTCATTAAGAGTTGTTTAGCTTTGTTTGGCTTACTGTTTTCCAAACTTGAGCTGGTACACAGAGAAGACACATTCTAGTATATTCTTGTTTAATCTGTGCTATTAGTAATTCATTGTTGTATGTACAGCTTTGGCAGGGCAGGTTCAAAATTTGAAGGAAGTTACGAGACTTCTTGGTATAAAGAAAAACTCAAAAGTTAAAAGGCAGGCAGACACTGGGTAAGGTATACTCAAAGACCTGAATATCTCGTGAGAGGAAACAGAGGATGGTAGAGGAGTTTAGTCCTCACAGTTTGCATAGACTAAGCTCCCAAAACTTCTCAGGTCACATCATAGCCCTTTAAACCAGGTAATTTCTGTGGAACATAAATCATATTCAATTTGCTTTGTTTTCCTCAACAGCTATTCTTACATATATATAGAATAAACTTTCTTTTGAGTGCCTAGTACTTACTAGTTTTACATTTTCTATGGATTATTCTATGTAGAGTCCATAATAGAATCTATAGAAAGCTGTTTCTATTTGTTGGACTCTCAACTGCCCATTCCCTGAATTCACTCACAAGCTGAGTGCTTTTTAGGGTCCCAACTGGTATTTTATTTCTTACATTTCTAACCATTTTCCTTATGACTTTAATCAGTGAAAACTGTTTGCTTCCTACTGCACTAGGCTTAGTAAAAGAAATGTAACATAGTTAGGCACCCATATTCAGGTTGCTCTAAGAAGCTTGCTGTATAAATTCGAACACAGAACTGACATCAGACAAAAGATTATAAAATGCTAAACTGGATACAGTAGGGTGTTGCAGGTCTAGAGGAGGGAAATGCCAGAGTAACACAAATTGGCTTCAGGTCATCAGTGAAACTGGAATAAAGTGGATGTAATTTAAACAGGTAGGACATACAGTTATAGGCCACTTGACTCACACTCTTGAAACTGGATTTTGGAGGCCAAACCCTCAGCAGTGTTTAGAAATAAACATTTGTTAAAAGTTCTCTGTATATCTTAAATTTGTACATTAAATTTTGAGAATCATGCAGCTAGGTGATGAAGATCTAGATAATTTCTTGTGTTGACCTGCCTAACTGTCATTGTTTTTGGTGTTTGTGAACTCTTGATGTCTTTATTGGTGGTGGAGACCTCGGGAGGGATGGGAGTGAAGTCTCATTCTCTGAGATTATGTCATCTGAGTCCCTGATGCTTCCTGCAGTTGTGAAGTTGTATAGGAAAAATTTCCAATTTACGTGACAGCCCTCATATCTGAGACTTCAGCATGTTCACAAAGAGGCCTATTTTTGTAAAACTATTAAAAGTTTTGCTTTTCTCAAGAGCACCTCTCATCTTTGAATTCAAATTCTCTTTTGGAATATTATTTTTACCAAACATTAGCAGGTAATTGCTATTAAAACCTACTTGTTACTACATAGAACATTAAATTTTGCTACAAATGTGGATTTAATTTTTAAAGGCAAAAGTTCCCTTAGAATTCTTGGCTGTTTTGTTGTTCTCCTGCCTGTACTGGGAAGCACTGGTCTCTGCTGTAATAGATTGCTCTGTGACCTTTCCTTGGCTCAAGTTCCCTACGCCAGCGACTATCACTTGCAGCTTTCTGCTGCTTTCTCTGTTCACACCTGGACAGTGCAACCTTGTAGTCAGATCACATCACATGGGTCCAGGGGCCTTGGCCAAGTAAGGTCATTATGTCACCTATCTACTGTGGGAAGAGAGTATTGGGGCTGGGAATATAGCTCAGTGGCACAGTGCCTGCCTGGCAAGTGTGAGGTCCTGAGTTCGAGTCCTGGTGCCAAAAAAATACACTAGTGGAAAGATAGTATTTGCCCTTAATTAGGATTATTGGTAGTGTGGATAAGAAGTGTATACAGACTACTCTTGTGGGGGATGTTGTAATTGCTCACATAGCATTAGTTGATGTTCATCACAGATACTTTCCAGTTCTTATCAGTAGGACTTACCAGCATCACATGTTCCTATTTTTAGGTATCATTTCTATGAGTGTTCTTTATATTCCATTCCTGCAAAAGCTATATAGATGGAGCTAGTATAGACCTAGAATCATTAGATTTGCGTTGTGATTTTCGTAACACATCATTTTAATGCTCAGAGTTAATAGTAATCTTTGTCTTCGTTAATCCTCCTGAACTATATAAAATAGAATACATTATTATTGGTTTGCTGCCTTATGTTTTCCTGAAAACATTACTTATTCAGGGCTGGGAGTGTAGTTACACCGTAGAATACATGCTTAGCCTACACCAGGCCCTGGGTTCAAACTCCAACATCAAAAAGTGTTATTCAGGTCTTGGCAGTGCCTCAGATCTTAATTCTGAATGTGGGTTGAGATAATTATGTGTAAAAGTTCTGTATCACCTGTAAAGAGCCAAATAAATGTAGTATTTGTTATTAATTTTAGATGTTGAAAATACAGAAGATTCTTTATTTATTTGAATTTCATAATATCCTTTGGCTTTTCTTTTAACTAAATCTGATATAAGCTTGTTTTGTTACCTTTCTTATTGAAGATGGATATGGGAACGGAGATGGCAGTATTAAGTTATGATTAATCAAAATCTTTTATTGTGGATTATCTTTTTCTGTCTTCCATTCTGGTTTTAATGAGTTAACTCAGGAGGAGTAAAGCAGATTTTTAAATTAACAAATGGTTATTTAAAGCCATAGTATTGAGTATATGTCTTATATAAGTCAGGTATTGGCAAACTATTGCCTACAGGTTAAAGGACGCCTGCAGCCTGCTTTTGTACAGCCAGCAAGCTATGGATGGTTTTACATTCTTTAAGGTTGTAAACAGAAGAGGAAGAAGAATATTATCACAGAAACTGTGTGACCTGCAGCACCTTAGATACTGTCTGGCCAGAAAGCAAACACACAAGATTTGCCGTCCTCTATGTTGTCATTGATTTCCATCCAATTTGGAATCACTTCTCATACATTTTTTCAAAATCCAGGAATACCTTTTACTTTTTAAAGCTATTATCTATGTATTATTTTTATATTAAATACCTTTTTATGTTTTGAAGCTCTACAGTTATCTCCAAGATACTAAAAATAGCTTATTTTAGTTTAGACTGTTTTTTGACAGTAGTGGGGATTGAACCTGGGGCCTAACATGTGCTAGGCAAGCACTCTACCACTGAACTACATCCCCAGCGCTTGTGAGGTTTTTTATGAGACAAGGTCTTGCTAAGTTGCCCAGGCTGGCCTCAGACTTGCGATCCTCCTGCTTCACTCAGCCTCTCGAGCAGCTGGGAATACAGGCGTTGCCACTGTCTGTGCTTGGCACTTACTGTTTTTGGCCCTTAGCTATTTGTTGCCACCCATCTTTTTTAGTGCTTTCATCCACTACAGTAGTGCTCTTTTCTGTCAGAAAACTGACGACTCTTATCTTGGATGTAATCTAATATATTTCTTCAGCTATCGGTAGCTTAATACTTATCCTATTCTTTCATTTGGATTTTGGGTTTCCCAACATATTTTGCTCCTCAAATTAATATTTTTCAGATCCTCAAAAGAAAGATTCAGAGACCAAGACTTAGCATCACGTGACAGAGACAGGAGTTCAAGAGACAGATCACCTCGTGACCGAGACCGAAAAGATAAGAAGCGGTCCTATGAGAGTGCAAATGGCAGATCAGAAGACAGGAGGAGCTCTGAAGAGCGCGAAGCAGGGGAGATCTAATTAGCTGTGTACATACCTTTAATCTTTAAGCTTCCTATGGAGTCACATACTATTGTTTAGTTTACAGCTGTTCAGGTTAACAGTGAGCAGTTCTAGCACCGATGCAAGATTCAGCCAGGCTAGATGTACAGTATCTAACTTGATCTGAACTGAACCTGTTTTCCTTGATGAAGCCTAAAACTACATCCATAGTTTCTGGTGAACCTGTAATACAGTTCTGAAAGTACAGTTTTATATAATAAGACACTGATCTCTTTATTCTTTTAAGTAGGAGTGATAGCGAATGAATTGTTACATGCCTTGGGATTTTTTGAACATTTGTAAAATGCTGTCTTCCTTTCTACTCCAAATAGCAGCAGCTTGGGGAATTTTTCTTTTTAATTTTTCTTCCTGTGATTTTTGTATCCCCTAATACCTGCACTCTCCAACTGTAAGGGGGTCAGGGAAGCAATATATCTTCTGTTCTGAGGCTCTATTCCCATTATTAATTACTAGCTCATTACAGTTCAGAGCATTTATACTGGAATGTGTGCTGGAGAAATTGAAAATACTGGGGATTTTTGTTTGACGGTGCCTATTTAGAATTGGAAATTGAACAGCTGTTGCATTACATACTTTTGCTTTTTTATTGAAATTTTAAAATCAGACTTGTCTTGATTTTTCTGTTCCTCATTGCTATGTTCAGGATGTTCTAAGGGGGTGGGGGCAGGGACTCTTTCATAATAAGCACTTGTTTTATTTTGTGTGTGGAGTATAAAAACTACACCCTTATTGTAAAAAACAATAAAATGAAAGAAACAATCATCACCACCATCAAACTGTAACTTGTCTAGTAAATTGTCACTAGAACTATTTGCTGTGGATTTTTCCTGTATTCTGTTACCTTATTAACAGTGCCTTATTGTGCAAGGCACCAAAGGAAGTAAATAGACTTGAAAAGAGTCCAGATGAAGCGTTGCTCCTTCTGGGCCTCTCACTGACTACTTTCCACCTACTTCAGGGCTGTCTGTAACCTGTGTAGAGAAGGAATGGACCTGCGGAAGCATTGGGGGGTTTCTTGGTTTTTTTTGTTTTCATATTCAATAAACCTGAATAAAAACAGTATGGAACCAACATAACGAAGCCAGCAGTTTCTGCATTACAGAACTATAGTGATATAAACAATAGTTGGCAGGTATCACTTCTAGTTTTACAAATTCTGAGGAACAAATATAAAATTAGTGTCTGTGATTGTAATTAAGATCACTCTGTAGAGCCGTTTCTTTGAATTTGACAGATTTGAGAGGAATGTGGGCCTCTGTGAGAGAAGAGAAAGCCCATGCCCTTCTAAGGGGTGTCCCCAGTTTGCCAGGTGATGCCTCATTACCAGGGTTGCTGTCACTCAGCACCACCCCCAGTGTATAGTTTCATCTGAGAGGCCCATCTGCATCAGCAACCCATTTCTTTTGTCCTTTTTAGGTTGTCGAAAAATAGTTTTGTGTCTTCTGTTCTTGGTGGTCTATGCTGTTGTCCCAAATCCTTACAGGCATTTTGGACGTAGTACTTCGGAGTGTGGAACAAGATGGGAAAGTTTAGCTGTGGTAGTAGGTGCAAGGAAGGACATCTGGGAGCTCACCTACTGTAGATTATATCTGGAGTTAGATATTGAACATCTCTAACGCATACTTTTAAGTCACATTTTCTCACTGTTGGTACAGAAGCAAGTACTCAGTGAAGGTAACCATGTCTGTATGACTAGCTGTTACTGCAGCTGTGATTTTTGGGGAAGTACTGGCCCTACCCCCAACAGGCAGTGACAGCCATCGAGCACAGCACTGCCCTGGGGCTGTGTGCCACAGCAGATTACGTCACCTGGTCCTTCACACAGATGATCCCATTTTTAGAAGTCCTTTTACCTGGGCAAGGGGTAGGACACCCTGCAATCCCAGCACTCTGGTAGGGTGAGGCAAGAGTATTGCAAGTTTGATTCCAATCCAGACAATTTAGTGAGACCTTGTCTTAAAATTTTAAAAAAGGCAAACTCCTTTTACAACTCTTTTGCTTGCATACTTGTACTATTTAGAGTTTGGGATAAGTAATCTGCATTTTAAATAATGAGATGGGCCAGCCACTGCGATTTAGAAGAACCCTAAGGTAGAGTATCTTTCTCATACACAATGTTTTGTACTTCATTTAACTAAATTTCGTCACATTTGCAAAAATCTTTGACCTTGTAGGGTAAAACCATGCTCCTTTTTACCTTCAGCAGAGCCCCTTTCATTTTGCTGTTACCTATCAATTCCCAGAGCTGCTTTGCTGAGCTATAGCAACAGCTACAGCTGAGACTAAAGCAGAAAATCTGGCAGGCAGACTGTGGGGAGTGAACCCAGGGAGCACCAGACCACATCCCCGCCCTTTTTTATTCTGAGACAGGGTTGGCTTTCAGCATGGCTTTCAACATGGCAGTCCTTTTGCTGCTTCCTGAGTAGCAGGGATTAAGTACATGTCCCACTGTGCCCAGTTTCTAACTTCTTTGGGGTGGGGGGTATAGGGAATTGAGCTCAGGACCTTGTGCTTGCCAGTCAGGCACTTGTGCTGCTGAGCTATGTCCCCAACCAGTAACTTTCTTAAATAAAGATTTTCTTACCTCTTATTAAAACTAAAACAAAGGGTGTTTTTTGTTTTGTTTTTGTGATGGTGGTACTAGAATTGAGCCCAGGGACTTTGCACTAAGCAACATCCCACACACACCCACACACAGCCCTTCATTTTTTTGAAACGGTCTTGCCAAGTCACTAAGTTGCCGAGGCTGGGCTTGCACTTGCAGTCTTCCTGCCTCAGCCTCCCAGAGTACTGGAATTACTAGTGTATGCTACCATGGGAAGCTTCAAACTCTTTTGTTCCTTAGAGTTCCATTATGAATGTTTTGTTATTTTGGGAGAGTCTCACTTAATTGCTAAATTCTCCAGGTCAGGCATAAGTTTGCTATCCTGTCTCAACCTTGAAGAATGTTGTGGGGTTATGGGTGTGTACTGCCATGCCTGCTTTGAGTCAATTTTAAATTAGTTTCTCTCAGCATTGGTCAAGCATACATTAGACTCTTACCATTTAAGTACTTTGTTCAAAGTAGTTTTTAAGGTAATGACCCATCAGTACTGCTTTTTTTTTTTTTCTTCAAATAAGTTTAGGTTGGGGCTGGGGATTTAGCTCAGCAGCACAGCGCCTGCCTGGCAAGTGTGAGGTCGTGAGCTCGATTCCTGGTAGCAGGGGGGAAAAAAAAGTTCAGGTTTTGTTTTGTTTTGAGACAGGGTCTCACTGTGTGTGTGCAGGCTGGCCTTGAACTCAGTGATCCTCCGGGTCAGTCTCCCAAGTGCTGGGATTATAGGTGTGCACCCCCGTGCCCTGCTTTTTTATAGGTTTTTAAACTTGGGAAATCTAAGAAAATATTATAGTTTTAAAATATATCTCAAGTACATTTGGCTTCTAGGGCTAAACCAGCTATAAACGGTTGAAATGTCCCTTCTGATGGTCCCCCAGCTGTTGCTCTGAGCTGCTGGAGTGCCTCCAGTAACTCAAGGCCATCTTCCCACTCTGAAGGGAGAACCTTGGTCTGCCACAGCCTGCAAAGCTGACTTCAGTATTTTGAAAAGCATCTTTTGGATTGCATGTGGAGGGGGGAAAAAGCAGTTTACATGATTTTACTCCGCTTTGGCTTTTGATATTTCCTGTACTATAAGGTAATATAAAGTTGCCTCCTTTCAGTGTGTTTTTCTTTCTTTTGCTGGCCAGGCAGGAGAGTGCTGGGGCCACAGAGGATCAGGGCTTTGACGCTCTGGGGTCTACAGATGTTTCTGAGCTGTGAGGGCCATCTGTGTGTTCTCCAGGTTCAGCAGAAAGCTCAAGGTGTTGGAGGTTCTGGGGCTGCAGGCATAGCTGGGTGTTGGCCTCAGCTCATGCTCAACATAGTAGGATTTAGCTAAAAGCAAAGCATGGAGACTTGCAGGTGGAGCTGTCAGTCCTTCCTGCAGGGCTCCAGATGGGACTGGATGGGGGAACGAGGCTGGTACCAGCACCAGAACCTGCCTCAGCTCTCCTCAGCTCCACATGCAGTGCACCCGTCTTGAGGTCTGCCTTGAGATGCTGTAACTGGAATTATCCCTGTAAGTGCAATTATCCCTGTGCGGTGTGTCAGGCTTCCTTCCTGAACGTGTTAATGAGACTCACCTGTGTGCTGTGTCAGCACAGTATGGTTTTTGCTTGCTTGTATCAAGTAGAATGCAGTGTGAGGAGGTACTGCAGTTTATCCAGAGACTGTTTCTGCACATGTGTGCTGGCTGCTCATACATTTCCCTTGGCAGGGTGTCTCTTCAGATCTCCAGGGTCTGCACTCTTCTGCCCTGTGAATTGTTTATGTTTGAATCTCTCTCATCTGTGGAATGAGAGAGAAAGATTCCTATGGTTTGGTCTACCTTTCTCTCCTGTTCTTTACCAGAAGCCCAGCCTTGCCCACCCTGCAGTCAGATTTTAGTGCAGTGTGGAAGTTTCCGCTCTAATAACCACGCGACCACACTCCTGGCCACAGTGGTCGACAAGTGGGCACCAGAGCCTACTTACGAGAGCCACAGCTCCTCCCGTGACTGGCAGTTTCTAGCGGGCACTGGTTGTTGTGAATTAAGAACATGTAAGTGAGCTGAGAGCTCTTGGTGGCCGTACGCTACCACATTACTGAGGAGCAGATAAAGGAGCCACCAGGAGAAAGAGTGACAGACATTTGAAGAGAAGTAAGAGTCGCAAATCATTTCCCTTTCTGCTTAGGCTACTTGGAATGGACCGTTTCATTGTTGTTGTTACTTAGAACCTGAGAGTCTAAACTGACTGCCAAATTAGGTCATTGTGAGGGTTAAATTAGGGCACAGCGCCTGCCTGGCAAGCGTGAGTTCGATTCCCAGTGCCCCCCCCCAAAAAAAGTTGGGGCACAGCAGAGCTGCCCACAGTAGTAGCCGTTATATTACCAGGTGGACGACTCTCATAGCTAGAGCACCATGCGTTGCTACCTGATGCCCTCACTCACCCTGGGGTGTCCTTGAGTCCTCAGACACACACCTTAGTCCATACCGTGCACGTCCAAGTGGGGAAGCACCGTGCCCACTGCCGGTCACGGCTGTACTGGACAGTACACCCAAGGACCTTGGAAAGTGACGGGTGACATCTGTGAAGAAGAAGCCACTGTGCAGAATTGACTGGTCCCTCCCTCTGCAAGACCTGCAGCAAATATTCCAAAGCTTTTGGTATAAATAAGGACAGCAGTCATGGTTGATGAGAGCCCAGTCACATGACCTTATTTTAACCTGATGGCCTAAAATACCCTTCTCCTTCACCACCACCTCCTTTTTAAGTACTGAAGATTGGACCCAGGGTTTTGCACTGTGCTGCATCCCCAGCCCTCTTCATTTCTTCAAATTTTGAGATAGGGTCTTAGTAAATTGCCCAGGTTGCATTTGAAATTGTGATCCTCCTGACTCAACAGGTGTGCATCCCCCAGCTCCTGTTCCTAAATAAGGTTGCACTATAAGTACTGCTCGGTTAGGACTCCAGCATTTTGGGAAGGAACCCAAATCAACCCCTAAGAGCAGGCTCTGTTACAGTGCTGCTATTTGTAGGACTCTAATCTAGCAGTCTGCATACTTTTCAAACTGACAGCTGTGCATATTATTTCTAAGGATAATGATAGCTCTAGGTTTTTCTGTTGATGAGGGCTGACCCTTGGCTGCTACTTTATACTGGTGCCAGCTGGTTGGATGAAATGCTGAAGCATTCAGTAGCAGGAGCAGAAACTCAGACTTCAGCCAGAGAATCCCTTGTCACAGAGTGTGAGGAAAGGATTTGCGCCCCAAGCGGCTGTGGGATGTGGCTGGGATCCTACAGGAAGCTTGCAAGCTGTCTTCACAATCAGTTGTGTGCCCCAGGGCACAAGGCATGCTGGGATGCGACCTGGGGGGCTGGGCAGGGCCTGGAGAAAGCAGAGTCCAGCAGACAAGCCTCCTGCAGGGTGCCTCTGCCAGTGAGCTTGGGTGGTGTAGCAGAGAGGAGCAGTACAGCCTGGCATGCATGGACTCAGGTGACAGTGGACAAGGAAAGGCCACATCTCCATGCCTGCACCTCTCTGTCCTAATAGGACGTGCTGCCTGCGCCGTGGCCTGGGCCTCTCCCTGTTCGGAGGGCGAGTGCAGGAGATTCAATCCAGGGCCATGTGCATGCTAAGCAGGTGTGCTCCCACTGAGCTGTTACATCCCCAGCCCTTTTTAGGACAAGGTCTCAATATGCTGCCCTTGTGATCCTCCCATCTCAGCCTATTACGTAGCTGGGCTTGCAGGCCATTCCAAGCGTTGACTCCTCACACATAGCTGGTCTAGACTTACCTCATCCAAAGCCGAGCCATAATCAGAAGGAAGCCAGACAGGACCAAGGCAGAGACTGCAGCTCAAAAGGAGAAAAGGAACAGAGAAAGTTATTACAAATAAAGTTCACATCATTAGTAAAATACTGCTGAGATGATAATTTTACCAAACGTGGCCATAGGGTCTTAGCACATACCGAAACCATCGAGTCTGATGAAAATGGGTGTAAGAAGCAACCTCATTACACCACGCCCACCAGAAGGAGTAGAATGAGAAAGTACCGAGTCAGGATGTGGGGCAGCTGCAGCACTCATGTGCTGTTCATGGGAGTGCAAACTGGTGGTACAGTCACACTGGAAAATGGCTTTGCGCTCATGCAATTCAGTGTAATTGAGCTGGGCATGGTGGCAAACACATCATCCTAGCACTTGGGAGGCTGAGGCAGGAGGATCCCCATGAGTTCAAGGCCAGCCTGGATGACACAGCAAGATCCTGTCTCAGCAAAAACAAACAAAATTCAACCTAACCCCCATACATGGTACCATTTACCCCCATATGTATAGTCAGCAAAAGTGCATGGATAAGCTAAGACATGTTCACTATCGTCGTGTTCCGCACAACCAAACTAAATACACCCTCAGATCCACCAATGGTAGAGCAGATGAGTAAACTGTGATTTATTTGTACTATGAAATACAACTCACCAACAAAAAACAAAGATCTCTGCAATAGGAAAGAATCCTGAAACATGTATAGAAGCAGCCAGGGAGAAAGGAATTCATATTACTCTCTGCGGTGCAGATCATGTTTAAGAATGGACAAGACTGACCCATGGTACAGGTGCTCAATATGTGGGAGGCAGTGTGACTGACACCCACACAAAGGGGTGCTTCTAAGACACTGATTAGACCTGTTGATTTGGTGGCTGGTTACACAGATGAATATTCATTGAGCTAGGTGTGGTGCCACGTGTCTGTAATCGCAGCACTCAGGAGGCTGAGGCAGGAGTTTGAGGCCACCCTTGGCTCCGTAGTGAGCCCAAGGCTAGCCTGCACTACAAAGCGAGACCCTGTCTCTAAATAAGTAACTTAATAACTGCTTTGCCTGGATCGCCTGGCATTAAATGTTTCTTTCTTTAAAATCTGTGTATCTATGAACTCTCCTACTACCACTTTTGGGGAGACTCCACCAAAGACTCAGTGGACAGAATAAATGGCACAGTCAACAGGATTCCCAAAAAAATAGGTGATGCCTGTAATCCCAGCACTTAGGCAGGCCTTGGGAGACAGGCGAGAGGCACAGGTTTTGCTCGTGGCCGGCTATACCCCCCACTTTCCAGGGAGGGACCTGTTGACACCGCTTTCACCCTAGGCGCGTATGAGCTCCTCAGGGCTGCCCCTGTGGGTGGGAGGGCTGCTGCACCCCGCTGCAGTCCTGGCAATGGCCCCTGCATATGATGTGGCCCAGCTTTGACCGACAGAGGAAGCAGACAGTGACCTGTGCAGTGAAGGTGAGGAACACAGCAAAAACTGGGAACACAGAAACAGAACCAAACAGCGGAGGAGTCACACAGAGAGAAAAGAAACCACCCATGGCAGCCGTCCTGGGACTTAGTGCCACGGAGATTGGTCCTGACACTTCGCCGCCTCTGGGAGGACCATAGTGCAGCCCTTGCTGCTACAGCAAGGCCAGGGTCCTCTGCAGTGTAGGGCCCTAGGTAGAAATGGGCAAGCTGGGCGTGGTGGCGCACACCTGTAATCCCAGCACTCGAGAGGCTGAGGCAGGAGGATGGTTACAGTTTTAGGCTACAAAGTGAGCACAAGGCCAGCCTGAACTGAACTGCATAGCGAGACCTTGTCGCAAAAGACCAAGAAAAAAAAAAAAAGAAATGGTCTCGTGGGTTCTCTTGAAATGAAGTCCTGTCTCTCGGGTCGTGGGGGCTGAACATACTCTCATCCACAGACATCCCACCTCTGCAGATGGTGCGGCACCCTCGTGTCCACTTTCGGGGCCGCCCCACCAGCCACCAATCCCATATGGGTAAAACCTGCCACAGGACGGAGCAGCCAAAGTGCCGAGCTTTGCACTGTCAGTAACGCAGGAGCCACGCCCAGCACCTGTGTGACCAACCCCTGGGCGGTCGGTAAAGGGTGGCAGTGTGGACAGGTCAGGGCACGAGGGGTCAGAGGGCATGGGAGGCCATGTGCATGTCAGATAGCTGGGACTGATTGCAACCAGGGCTAAAGTCACAATGGCTCGACCGTGAGTCCTGGCACAGACACAAGAGCAGGTCCAGCTAGGCCTGCAGTCACCCTGAAGAGGCAGATAAATGAGGTGTGGTCAAGAAAATATAGTGAGAAGTATTTAAGTTTCAATAAAATGTACTACAGTGAGGACACATCGCCACTAATCTCAAGATCCCCCTTGCCTCAAACGCACTCATCTCATCTTCCTTGCCACTCTCTCAAGCAGTTCTGGAAGTCCTCTTTCCAAAGCGGGGAACACTGGAAGCATGAGAAGGAGTGCCACTGATAGGTGGCAGACATCACACTGGCCACTCCCAGGTACAAAGGACACAACAAACTTATCCTTGTGAAAAAGCCAATGAGCCCTGGGGCATTCGGAGCCTGCAGTGCCCATGAGTAACGCAGGGGACCCAAGAACCGTTTTGGGTGACCAAGGCCCACATTCCAGATTCCCTAACCCGAGAGGACAGAAAAAGAAGGCATCACACAACAATTCTATTCACCCTGCAGTTTGCAGGGAGCAGGACTCAGGAAAAATGGGCTCTTGAAGGACGAAGTATATTTGTCTTAGTTTTGCATGGTGCTGAGGGGTCTAACCCAGGGCCTCCCATGCACTAAGCATGTGCTGAGCTCCACTTCATCCTGGGCTGGCTTTCCTGGAAGCCGTATGTGACTGAAGTGAGGCCCTGTTATTTGAGGAAATTCAGCCTGGTAGAGAAGAGCCTAGAGCAAGCCACGTGGGTATGGACGTTCCAGGCGCCATTTAAGCCTGGGGCTCAGGTCCATGCAGAATGCCCTCATCTTGCAATTTTGCTGTCTTTGCCATACCTGGGCAGGGAGCCTCTGGGGATCTAGGTACAAAGAGATGGGCTGGATTGGGATCCTGCTTCCCCTTAGGCAGCCACCAGCTTCCTGGGCCAGACTCCCGTTTTCCTTTCCAAGGCAGGGCACAGGGACGTTTGTGTTGGCGACAACAATGCCAATGGCACTGTTGTGGCACTAGTAGGATGGATTTTACCAGCACGAGCATAGTGGAGCCCACAACTGGCCCACACTGGGAGGAGAGAAGATTCCCAGATACACCATGATTATTCTGGGTGTACCAGGGGGCTAACATCCGTTCTCTTATACAGGAGCCTCCCCTCTGTGTCCAATTGCAGCCCCTCCACTGTTACCCCAAGCTACTCTGTCTGGGCAGTTGTATCACCCCCAAGCATGCTAGGATAACTACAGAGTCTTCCTGTAGGCCTGACCCATCCAACTGCTGGGAGAGGCAGGCTTGGCTTATGACCGTGATCTCATTCCAACTGAGATAACTGACTGATGTGTGGATCACAGAGACCAGCAACATCACACACAAACCTGACCAGGGTGCGGCACTGAGCAACCCCGGACATAAGGTTCAAAGTCTGATGGAAAAGTACAGGTATTTCAGCCCTTAAGGAATTTTATAACAATGAAAGACATATTGCCACTAATCATCCTCAAAGTCTTCCCCCGTGTTTCAAATTCATCCCATCATTCTTGCCACCTTCTGCAGCAGTTCTGGAAGTCCTCTTTCATAAGTCTAGCTTTGCTATCCTGAAAACACTTACCTTGCCTATAATCCCAGCACTCAGAAGGCTGAGGCAGGAAGATTGCTGTGAGTTTGAGGCTAGCCTGGGATACTGCAGAGTGAAAACCCTGTCTCAAAAAAAAAAAACCAAACAAAAAACAGACCAACAAGAAACACCTTCATGGTCATTTTGACTTTGAGGAAGAGCCAGAAGTCTCACAGTGAATAAGGTGGATGAGGACACAGCGACATGTTTTTCACAGCCCTACCTTTTCGGTGGAGGGTGCTCCGCAGCACTTATCACAGCAGATAAAGACACTCAGGAAATAGGACTTTGAGAACTGCTTCAGAAAGTAGTGAGAATGGTAGGATAAGTGTGTGAAAGTGAGGGGGAGTGTTTGGAGGTAGGTTAATGGCAGTGTGTATTCTGCTGTAGTAATTTTTTCGTTCGTTTGTTGGGGGGATAGGCTCTCGCTATGTAGTTCAAGCAGGCTTTGCACTCACTTTGTAGCCCAGGCTGGCTTCAAACTGGCAGTGATCCTCCTGCCTCAGCCTTCCTAGTACTGAGATTACAGGCATGTGTCACCATGCCCTGCCTAAATTTTTAAACATATAAGCATGCATCATGGGGTTTTGTTGTCCATAAATAAAATTATTATTGGAACACATTCACATTCAGTGGTTATTTACTGTCTGCTTTGGCTATGAGGGCCACTCCTGTGACCCTGAAAGAGCCCTTTACAGGAAAAATCTGTCAATCTCTATTAGGTTTATTTATTTGTTTTTGGTCTACAAATAGATTTAAGTCCAAATAGGAGAAATTCAGTGTCATAAAATTTCATTTCAAAGCTTTGATATAGCAGTATACAAAGGCAATATGAAAAGTGATAAACACCATAAGAACAAAATACACACTGCTAGATGTGATATATGTTTGGATAATTAGGAAGGTTTTCTGGCTGCAATACAGTCCTAACTTAGGAGGAAATGTGGGGTTATTCATGGACTTTAAATTGTGTCTGAAAAAGCTAGGCACAGTGGTACCCGATTCCAGTTACTGAGGAGGCAGAGGAAGGAGGATCACAAGTTTGAGGACAGCCTAGGCAACTTAGTGAGATCTTCTCTCAACATAAAAAATAAAGTGCTGGGAAGGTAGCTCAGTGGTAGAGCTCCCCTGGGTTGAAGCCCAATACAGGGGACGGGGGGGGGGGGTGTCAGTCAAAAAATGTAACTCTCTTGCTGTTATAAATGTAAAAAAAAGTTCTCGCTTTGTAA